CCATATCCATCTGCCAGGCCTCACTGAATCTGTCCAGATGTACAGGGGTACCCATGTTTAGGAGCGAGTAGCACATAGATATTATCCCTTTTGTCTGCTTTTGATTCAAACACATTCTCTCTAACCCTGTAAGTGTGCTCACCCCTTTCGCTGTGGGAGTTTGGGCACCTAGCATTGATTTAATTTGTAGATACGGAAATATCAGTCTGGGGGGCAGCTTAAATGTTTCTTGGACAACGGGGAATGGTATCAGGTTGTGTGCCTCTAGGAGGTCTCTCACATGTGTACACCCTCTCTTTGTCCATTCCCTGTGGTCAAACGTGTTGTTGGCTGCGTGTAGGCTGGTCAGTGGGGTCGCCGGTGACCATGGTAGCATGGACACCAATGCATTCTGTGTTTTGTCCCAGGCCTTCAACATTGTTTTATTGGTGGGTAGTATGTGAGGTTGGGTTGGGCGCATCCTTTTAGGTACCCAGGCTAGTGTCCGAAGGTCTGCCCCTTGTAACCAGTGATCTTCAATTTCTAGCCATTGGGGGGTTTTGCTGTAAGTGTGTTTCCCCATCATTGTGGCCAATAGTGTCGCCTGGTAATAGGTTTTGATATTTGGCAAAGCAAGACCCCCGCGGAGGGTAGGTCTATATAGGAATTTTGTCGCTACTCTCACTCTCTTTTGTGCCCATACAAAGTTGGTGAGCAGTGTTTGTATTTTATTTAGGTATGAGGATGGCAGGTCTATTTGTAATGTTCTAAATAGGTATTGTAGCTTGGGGAGGAGATACATTTTAAATGCTGCCATCCTTCCCAGCCAAGATAGGTATTTATCTTTCCATGAGGCCAAGCTGGCTTCCAGTTCCTTTTGTAGGGACTCGTAGTTGGCTTTGAATAGGTACCCTAATGTCTTGGTTAGTTTAATTCCTAGGAAGGTGACACTGTCTGTCCTCCAGTCCATTTCAAATTTCCCCCGTAGTACTTGCATTACATCATTGGGTATCCCTATCCCCATCGCTTGGGTTTTTGTTACGTTTAGTTTATAGTATGAACTGTCTCCATATTCCTTTATTACTTGTAATAAGTGTGGCTTGATATTAGAGGTTGGGTCAGAGTCAGTAACACAGACTCTGAGCTAGGACGTAAAGCTGGGGTGACAGAGGGCACCCCTGCCTCGTTCCGTTTGAGATGCTAAGGGGGCTTGACAGGAATCCCGCATTGAGTACCTGGACTTTTGGTGCGCTGTACAGCGCCTTTACCGCTGACTTAAAGTTGCTTGGAATCCCAAACTTTGCCATGACCGCCTCTAGAAATGTCCAGTGCAGGCGGTCAAAGGCCTTCTCTGCGTCTAGGGATACCACAAGGCCTCCCCCTTTGTGTATTCTGGGTAGACTGTGCAGTATGTTTAAAACTTTGCGCGTGTTGTCCGCTCCCTGTCTCCCCACCACAAATCCAACCTGATCTGAGTGGACCAACTGGGGGAGGAGAACGCTCAATCTCATTGCACACAGTTTGGTGAATATTTTCGCATCCGTATTTAGCAATGAGATGGGTCTGAAGTTTTGGGGGACTGTAGGCGGCTTCCCTGGTTTTTGTAATGTTATGATATGGGCTAGTAGTGAGTCCGTGGGGAGAGCTTGTGTGTTGGTCGCCTCCGTGAACATGTGTACTAGTTGAGGTGCTAGTAGGTGTAGAAAAGTTTTGTAATAGCTATTGTCCAAGCCATCTGGGCCTGGGGCTTTGCCATTTGGCAGGTTCCTTATTACGGTATGGATTTCTTCCTATGATATTGGTTTTGTGAGCTCTCTCGCCTGTTGGGACGTGATCATGGGGAGGTCTATTGTGGCCAGGTATGCATTGATGTGTTCCTGTGTGGGATGGAAAGTTTTGTTATTTTTATTTATGTTGTACAGGGAGGCGTAATAATTTGCAAATTCATTGCAGATGTTTTTTGGGATCATTTTCTTCTCCCCCGTTGGGGACATGAGAAAAGCTATTTTTTTATTTGCTCTTCGTTCTTGTAGTCTCCTAGCTAGGAGTCTGCTAGCTTTATTCCCTTGCGTGTATTGTCTTATTTTCAATCTTTGGAGCATGTACCCTGTCTGCTCTAGTGCTCTCTGGTGTAGTTTGGCCATAATGCTGGATATTTGTATTTTAAGGTCATTGGATGGGGAGATTTGGTTTCGAGAGTTTAGTTGGTATAGTTCTCGTCTCCATTGTGTAAGTTGGGTTGAGGATTGTTTGTGCAGGTATGCTGCCCTTTTAATGAAAACACATCTAACCACTGCCTTGTGGGCTGCCCATATTGTGCCCTGAGATATTCCTGGAGTCACTGGCGGATCCAGGGGGGGGGCAACGGGGCAATTGCCCCCCCCCCCCGAAATTCTCCCCTGCCAGCTAATGCAGGGCTGGCATTGCCCAAGTGCCAGCCCTGCAATGTGCCTGCGAACCGGGGAGGAAGATCAGAGATCTCCCTCCCCGGTCCGCAGACACTGTGCTGACAGCCGGCGGCGGAGGGAGGGAGCTCCTCCGGGTCCTCCTCTCTTGAGATTTGGAGCGTTGACTCGGTTACCACGGCAACGCTCCAAATCTCGCGAGAGTGAACTCTAGCCCGGGAGCGCGGGCTAGAGTTCACTCTGACCACCTGACCACCAATGAATCCCCCACCGGACCACCAGGGAAATGTCCCCCCTCCTCCTAAATAAAGGTAAGAAGGGAGGAGGGACATAGAATAT